TAGAAAAATGTGTATCAGATATCATGAAAAATAGGCGTCTAGCTTATAAAAGTCAAAATTTCGAAACTTCAGTAAGCGAGACTGGAGTGTGGGAAGAAACTCGTTCCAGTGCCCTCTCGGAAAAATGCACAGCAGAAGTGAATTTGTCACCTTCACCGAACAATTGCGGAAAAACGGGCATGGTGACCCCCAGTTTTATTCCACGCATCGAGAGAAAATGCCATCCTCCATGATATATCCAACTTTGAAGATTTTTCCATTCGTTGATGTTCAAATATTTTTTTTCGAATAATTGTTGCGATGTGATGTTAGGTGTTTTGTCCGAGAGAGGGAGTACTGATCGGCGGGCCTATTATTCACCACTTTGATGTTTTTGAAAACGTTTAAATGGTTTACCACAACATTGTTGTGGGATCATAAGAGCAAAACATTCATTTCGTATTCATTGACTACTTTCTGGAAATAGCGGGTACTTTACACTCTAGGATAGGATTTTCAATTCTGGTATCACAAGCTAACAGAGTAGTTTTTTGAATGAAAGTGATCCTCGCAGTAATGTGCACTACTTAGGCAGTAGTGGAAATAAGGCCTGAAAAAAATTCAGGCCTGTACGGGATTTGAACCCATGACCTCTGCGATACCGGTGCAGAACCGGTGTGTCATGTCTTTATCCGCAGTTCAAATATATGACTTTCATATATACTTAACCAGAGTAGTTTTTATAACAGCCCTAAAACTCGAAAATGAGGAAGGTAACCCCAACTTTTTGTTTTATGTTTTGGATTAGCTTAGAGTAGTTAACAACTGTGCAAAGTAAAACAGAAATGCCATTACACCTTCTTTTTCGATGGAATCACCTTAATTGTGATTGGTCAGTCCTGATGCGTCAGTAAAGTTGGGTCGTTGTGTTCAGTTCGTTGGTTTGCACAAAAACATTTTTAATTACCTTGGCAACATATGGTTATTTTTCAAGAAGTTGACTATGATTAATACCCAAAGGGTTTTGCAAAGCTTGGCCTGAGAAATTGTAAATCAACGTTCCGTTCGTAAGAGCACTAGTAGTCGTGCAACGTGTTAATTCAGTTTCACTTTAAGACCGTAAGACAAGGCTTATCTGAAGTTATTTTTTTATTTCTTCATGTGCGCAATTCCTTCCAAAAGGGTCAATGTAACAAAAAAATTAAAAATTATTTTAAATCAGGACTGGTCGAATTCAGTTACGTTCCTTCATGATTACTCCAAAAAGGGGTTCTAGCTACTAGTAAAGTACTTTTAGCAGAAAAAAGAACAACTGTTACTAACGTCATTGAGCTATCTACCAACCTTAAAGAGATCTTTTCACTCATCGTGAATAAACAAATCACCAGGGTCTGAAAAAACAAAGAAACTCGAAGATAGTGACAGAAGATATTCATAAAACTTAAACTACAAAACTTTTACGTAAAAAGAACAACAATAGCAAAAATAATAACAAGATTTCTTTTCGAGAAAAATCTTCCTCTTTAAAATGAAATATGAAAGAACGAAACACCAAAAATAAAGTAAAATAATCATGCGGAAGCGAAATTATCAGTGTACCCACATGGAAAAGGCAGATGAAAGCTGCTACCTGCAAAAGTAGGAAACCGAGAATAAATACTTGTTACATTGTTGTCTATCTTGACATAACCAAAATCTGCCCCATCATCTCTTGTCCCCTCTCACTGACAGGTAATTAACAGTTAATTTTCTATAGTTTCCCCTTATACTCTGTTGCGACGGCTGAACGGAGTGATCCCCCATCTGTTTCCCTTGAAAACCATGTGATCCTTACCAAAATCCTTCATTCCCCCACCCCACCACTGCCGTTCGATAAATACTGACTTATCCCCAAACTCTTCATAATATTAAGTTTCATAGCGTAGATCAAATGCCTCGAATGATGAAAACAGCACTTACACTCATGGCCCACTCAAATCCAAAATGATCATCTAATACTCCAGCCAGACTGGGTCCAATTGTTGCTCTGTAAAGAAGGAATTGAAAAAATGTACATGATCCATTTTAAGAGTGGATGTTAGCGTCTGCCCTCCCTCATATCGTTGCCGTTTCAGCAACTAACACAAAAAAGATAAAGAATCAGTGAAAAAAGAGCACATACCCTAAATAGTACATAGAACCGTAAATACTCGACACAAGCGCGTTTGTTGAGGAATTATCGGGCATTCCATTTGCCCTGCAAGAGGAAAAGAGGTAACAAAAGCAAGCCCAAAATCATTGACACAAAAACATATCTATGAATAAATCAATTAGGTTGTCTTCCAGTAACTTAAACTCTTCCCAACTGGATTTCCTAGACTCTGCCATTCACTGACTGAAACTTTATCCTTGGTAAAGAAAAGAAACGAGCCTTACAAAAACATTGCTACTTACCTTAAACTTTTAATAAGGTCAGGCATGATGGGTACAAAAGCAAAACCACCAGCAATTCCTTGAATGGTTATTGCAAAAATAACCAGCCAAATCGTCCTGCAAGAATAGCGGGATCCAATGAGAAGTTTACCATCAAGATAAGGTTTTTTTCAGGTGACTGAACTTCAGTTTTCGATTGATTTAGAAATAGGCTTGAAAGTTGATAATTGCAGCTACAAATCTGCGTGGGATCGCACGCTGGTGACCTCTGACTTGTTTGAACATGTACCAATCGCTCAAAACACAGATTAATTTTGAAAAGTTTCGATTCCCAATATATTTGTTGGCACATTTCCAATACGTTTAAGGTTAGTGTGGAGGAATGTAAGGATTGTACACTCTCCTCTGACCAGCCAATATATCATTTACTTCATTTCATTTTAAATTATTTTAAGGCAAATAAAGGCCCCACTTAAATTTGCCT